CGCCTTTGTCCATTCAAGGTCATAACTTGGCAATTTTTGATCAAAATTGATTTATTTCTGCACAACATGTGCTTGAGAAGTGTACCTTTATTTTAAATGGTACATGTAAGTCTAGTCTAACTGACGCAATTCAACTCTAAAAAATTAGTGTCAAACTTTACCGGTCATACCTTAATTTAATAGAGATTATCTTATTTAATGATCTTCCAGAATTAATAAAGACACATCCACTAATTACATAAATTAACAAAGAAAAATTACATCCTCATGATCATATCTATTCTTTCTAAATATAGTATTCCAAATATATCTAAAATCGTTAAAGGTTAAGGAAGGGAAGGTCGAGCAGAAAAATCTCCAGAAAAGGAAAGAAAATATCAGAAAACGTAACCTAAAAGGAATTAAATGAATTCTTAGTAAACGCACCTGAGTTTTTTCCATTAGTAAATTAAAGTTGAAATAAATTCCAACTATGGGTGTCTTAGTGAATTTATTGTTCAGAACAAATTAAAGTGTGGACAAAGTTTCCCTGAATTTTGTTTACGGATCTTATGATGTTCAGATTTGGTATCTAGATAAACAATTAAGTCATATTTGGACAATATTTAAAAAATTTAAAAAGTCGAAAATAATTTATACATAATATTAGTTGCAGAACTAAAAATAAAATTTTAAATTTGATTTCAATTCAACTGAAATAGAAAAAGAATAGAATACAAATTGATTTATTTTTAAAGTTAATTTACAATTGTGAATGACCAATGAAATAAATCTGAGTGTGTACGGTTCTTTGGCTATTTCTTTGTTCCATGAGTATCATATGATTGCATGATTGCAGGAGATCACATTTTAGTTTTCTTACTAGCAGTCCAAGGGTTGATTTTAGACGAGATCCTAGAGAAGAAAAAATTGAAATTAGTGATATATTTTTTGTATTTAAACGAGACAAAGATACAGCTGAATAATTCAACGTAAAAGAATCTCGTTCAACAACTCGCAATAATTTACGAGTTATTTACTAGATTTTACAAACTCCTTTTCATTTATTTTTTATTCGAATCTTACCTTTTATATTTGGTCATATAAAATGTGATATCGAACTTTCTGCTGCAACCTCAATAATTCGTATTTAATATCGTATTTTTCCAAAAATCGCTCTTCCTCATCTTTAATAATGAATTTCATCAATGCACCAGAGACAGCCTACGAAACTGTTAGAAACGCGACCATCTAACAAAATCAGACAACATTCTAATTTTAGCTCGATAACCAGGCTTGATAAAGTTTACATCTGGCAATGATTGATTACATTCTAGGCACTTTTCAGCACTAACCCAGTCTACTCTTTTGTATTTGACTTCAGATGCGTAAGGACCCAGCAATACTTCAGGAAAAGAGGGCAACCTATTATTGATTTTGGGTCTGATAGTTCGAGCAGCACATTCCGGCTTTTCTGATGCAAACCAGCACGGTACAATGTTGTAAACTTCCTTATCATTCATTTTTTATTAGAATCTTACGTTTTATATTTGGTCATATAAGTGTTGATATCGAATTTTCTTTTGCAGCCATTATAATTCATGTACCGTATTCGGCCATAAATCTCTCTTTCCAAAAATGATACTTGGTCATGAACACCTCCAATGGAAAAGAGACAGCCTACGAAACCACATGGATCGCAACCATCTAATTCAAATTTGTTATTTAAATAGATAGCGATTTCCAGTGCTTCTTCCGGAGATTCACTCCATTCTAGTATCTTTTTAGCCCAATACATTCTCATGTAGCCATGAAGCTTAGCATCGCGAACCAATTGCATCTGACAAGCATTGTACAGAGGATCATGAGTTTTACCATCTTCAAACTCTTTTTTAGTGTACACATAAGGACGTTTATCCTTTCGATGATCATCAAGAGTTTTTTGAGCCCATTTTGGAGCACCTTTTAGTGAATCATAGTTAGGGTTATAAAAGCAGAAGTTGTCAGCCAATTCACGTCTGATAACTGCTTGCTCGACCCAGGCCTCTACCGCTTCTTTGTATTGCTTTTCATACTTTTGAACAACTATTAATATAAAAATGTAAAAGATGAATTAAAATTTGTAGTAAATAAAATGTTCGATTTTTCGACTCACCTAAAACAGCTCGCTGAGGGGCTATTTGTCCAAAGTGAAAGTATGGAGATAAGTTAGATTGAAAATCTTGACTTGGATTATTCTTCTTATCATTGTACCAGCGGATTTTTTTCTCGACAAAATCAGATAACATTTTAATTCCAGCTCTATAACCAGGATTAATCCAGTTAACATCTGGAACTGATCGATCACATTCTAGGCACTTTTCAGCACTAACCCAGTCTACTCTTTCGTATTTGACAACAGAGGAGTAAGGATGAAGCATAACTGGAGGAAAATGAGTGAGAAATTCAGGCAACTTGTTATTGATTTTTGGTCTGATAGTTCGAGCAGAATATTCTAGTTTTTCTGATGCAACCCAGCACGGTACAATGTTGTGTGCATCAACCTGGCATAAAGGAACATCTTCAGGAAGTTTTTTACAAACTTCATTAACCCATCTCATAGGAACTTTGAGTGGAACAAAGTCACAGACAACTCCACCAATATTGTTATCAGAAACAAATTTAGGCAAAACTTTAGGAGGCTCGCCTAGGAGTAAATGAAAATGAATGTTTCTTGACAATAAATCCTTTTCAACTTCTTCCAATCCTCCTAAAAGAAAGTGAAATCCTCTCATACTCGCGTCTGAAGAAAAATCAAATGCGGGGGAAAGACAATAACAAACATGCAGAGGTACTTTGAACTTTAAAGCAAGTCTTTGAGCATATAACAGGGCCCAATTGTCCTCAACTCGACCATCTCGAGACATCCAGTACAGAATAGCACCACAGTCATCGGATACTTCCTTGCAATCACTTAAAATTCGAACTCTTTTTTTGTTAAACTTGAAATCTTCAATCGATTCACCAACAGCGGCACGAGCTTTATTTATTTCTTGAAACAATCGTTCACTTGGATCTGAGCTTTGCTCACTCTTAACTTCATCAAGGCTAGCTGAAGTTGTACCAGCTTCTTCTGAAGAATCTTCCGAATCAGTTTTATCTTTCTTTTTGGGAGGCGTTGGAGAAAGTTGACGTTTTTTGGGTCCCATAACGAAAACTTGATGGAAAGTGGATAAACTAGATAGAGATCGCGAATGAGTAATCCGTGAAGGCAAAAGCAACCAACAAGTGCTAGAGATAGGAGGAACTATACTGTTAAAATCAACTTGTAGCTTATTTAAGTAAATCACAGATTAGAAAACTAAAAAAATACAAAATAAAATGTTTAAAACAAATTAAAATATCAAATCCTGAACACATTGAGGTAAAGAAAAATTCAAATGCGAGTGAAAAAACATGTTTCGATACTATCGATAACACATTTGTTCAAGGTATCGTTTTTTGCAATCGTATTACGGTTAATGTAAGCTCAACAAATCTTAATCAATTTATTGCAATTAATGCATTTCAATTAATACGAGTTAATTTCGGTTGACACTTTAATTGATATTTCAATTACTCTTAATCAACACTTTTCCTCAATCATCCATCTCACCTGTCTTTAAGTTGAGACAGTTAATTATCACGATCTCAGTGTTTTTGATTATTCGTTTTTTTATTTTCTTAACTTTGCAAAATGCGAATCTTTCTTTTGTTTCTTATACTCTTATTGTTTAATGAATTTCAATGTTGTTATACCAATGTTGACATAAAAAGTCAATCAATCAATTGGTAAAAATTAATTCTTCACTCCATTCTTGGTCAAATAATTCAATTTCCAGTTGTTCTTTAACTCCTAATCCCATCAACTTTCAACTTGTCAGCTTAAGCGTGATAATGGCCAATTCATTTCAACTCTTTATACCTTCTAAACTCCATCATCTTTAAACAATGGTGAAAAGAAACTTGACCAGTGATTATTAGATTTAATAATTGTTGTATCGTAATATTGCATCCATTTACCATCATATTTCGTGGTTTCCCGGTCTGACACTGAATGCAAGATTCATGTATCAATACAGAAGCTTCCTAATACATGGCCATCTATCAAAATGATATAGAGCTTTTGCCTCTACAAATGCTATTAAATGTGAGCTGCTCTATCCCTGTTGATGATGCTTCAAAAATCTACTTTATTGCAAACAGTTGAAAATTGATGACCCGAGCTGTTTACAATAATCACATAACAAGACTTGAAACAAAAAAGGTATACTCGTTAACAATGGCAAGATTGGAGAAAGATTGTACAGGCAATGAAGATGGTGGTAAAAATCAGGGTAAGGTTATCCCATTTAAGGTCAGACGATGCTTAGTAAATTAGATGAAATGTTTTATCAAGATGCTAATTAGTAACTTCATTTCATCTTCTAGCCAACCAAACCCAAAAAATGATAATAATACCTAACAAGTAATAACATGTTTAATAATAAAGCCCTGCTAATTTGTTTTTTCCTCTTCTTCTTCTTTTCTCTCTTCTAACACAGGTTGGAAAGGAGAGGCTGTATCGTCCAATCGCCATCATCAATATCATTATCATCGTCATAATCCAGGCTATTACACAATGAATTAACACGAATTAACAAAATTCCACTCAAAAATTGCAATGTTTATCTTGTTTTGACCGTTTAACTTGTCTCCTCAAGTGAATCAGTGAACCATGTCTATGATTTAATTTTGAGCAATCAATTTTACCTTACCTTACCAGCGGTAGGTAAGGCACGTTATTGTAATGATAGATAGCACTGTGAGATAAAAAAATGGACAAGATAATAATAATAAAAAGATGAGGAGTAAAGGCCCAAGAAGAAGAAGAAGAAGAAGCGCCCAAAGAGATGATATATCCAAAAAGGAAGGAAGAAATGAGAAATGAAAAGTCAAGTAAAAAGAGATGAACCATTTTTTGGAAGGCCCAGCCAAAATCATGTCACGACCTGAGAAAGTAGTCCAGCCCAAGGATAAGCTCCCATGATGGCGGACACTACCAAATAAAAATAAAAAGAGATAAAATGGAGAGTTGGAAAAACAGTGAATTCAGCAGAGAAAAGAAGAAAAGATGCAAGAAAAATAAAGAAGCAATCTTGGTGCCCCTAATTTCACTCCTGATGAAAAAAACAGAAGCCAGAAGAAAATTATTGTGATGATGATGATGATGATGATGATGATGATGATGATGATGGTAATGAAGGTAAAGGTAAAGAGAATAGCAATAACATAGGAAAAGGGAAAGAGAAAGAAAAGTGGATAGTTGAATCATGTTTGCAAGATAATTGATGCTACCGATCGACTGGTTAAATGGCCTTTTCCTTCACTCTCATCTTTTCTTATTTTTTTTACCCGTCTTACATCTTTCTCTCTCTCTTTGCTTCTCTATTTAGCTGTCGTCCAACGAAACTTGTGGCAAAGTCTGTACTTTTTCACCACTCATCATTATAACTCACGACTCGCCTCTCTACCGAGCTTCTTGTATTACGAAGAGTCAGAAAGAACAGGGAGATCAACAGGTAAAGTAAAAGATTCTTATAATTTACCTTGCAACCGATCTACCTGGAAGAGTCAGTGAGATAAAACATGTTGAAGAAGAAGAAGAGAAATAGAGAGTAAGCCTCGCCCTTACACTTACTTCATCATCATAATCATCTTCTTATATGTATTTTTTGCTCTCTTTCATTTTTCTTTCATTCCTTTCTTTTGCTCTGGCCATTTCCTCACCAACTTAGATTTAGTTAAGTAAGGTAGCCAAAACAGTGAAAAGTTGCCTTCCAGCTATCTGATCCTAGGTTATCTTTTAATAATTTGTGTACAATTCAAATTAATATAATGGTTTCACGATCCATAATCATTTAGAAATAACTATTTGTTCCCAGGGAATTGTTTTTTTATGAACTGCCTCTTCTGTAGCAGAGTGAAAAAAAACCAGCAGCAATGTTTGTTGCTGTTGATTGTTGCTACTGTGCAAGTGTATCAATTTAGGAAATTTAGTTTAAGAAAGAAATTCAGAAAAGGAGGATAAAAAGGAGGAGATTTGGAAGAAAGAAAAAAATTTACTTCACTTATTTCGCATAATATTTATTTGTTATCATCATTTCAGATTATATTATTTGATATTATATATTTATTATTCTTTTTTCTCTCTCTTTCTCTTTCAGATTACCTTCAAAGTTAGCCATGATTAAAAGAAAAGTTAAAGGAATGTTGCAGCTGATAATCAACCTGAAAATTGAATCTATTTTACCCAATTGTAACTTACTTGGTTGGAAAAAAAGAGTTTCTTAAAAGGTTATTAGAAGGATGCAATTGAAATGATGACCAAGCTGATGGCAGTGATGATTATGGCAATTGAATAATGAGTTAAAAGTAATGATAATAGTACATTTCTGTAACAGTTGCCGTAAAAATTGGCCAAGAAAAAGATACAAACGAACAAACGACTGGTTAAGGTTATAAAGTGTTACTTTTAATGGTCATTTAATGGTTATTGCTGGTAACACGCAATCTATTATCATTGGTTGTGAATATAATTACAATAAATCAATCCTGGAAACAAAACATAGGAGATAAACTGCCCAAATAATCTTAAAATATAACGTTCAAAACATAAGGCTAAACGGAGGAACCAATATCATCAATTGCAAGATGAAATCAATCAAGTTAAAGAATCAAAACTCGCATTACTTGAAGAGCAAAAAAAGCTAAACAAAAAAATAACTAAATTAATCTGGATTATAGCTGTTTACAATTACCAACCGATTATTCCCTAATATGTTGGCCTGATTGTTCTGTATCATCAGAAATGCAAAAGGAGAAGCAAAAAAAAGGTTAAATATCATTACCATCACCAAAGATCCGAGAGAATGGTTATTTTCAACAAGTAAAGAGAGGTAGCTTTGCGTGATAAATTAATCAATCAAGATATACAGTTTAATGGCATTATTATTAGCTATATTATCAATTACACTACGAGGAACCATTGGTGATGGCAGAAAATGAAGAAAAGATGAAACAGATAATCACGCATTATCCCAATACTGTCCAATGGAGCCCATCAACGACGTAATATATTTGCTCATAAATGTTTCCAAAAACGTAAAATGGTTCCTGCTTGGGAAACACTCAATGCAAATGCAATTGAGATGCGTTTTTGGTAAAGGCAGCAAACATCTTCATCTAATACTTGGATAACATTAAAATTGGATGACATGAATTGGGACCAGAGTGAAGTTTATGGATCAAGAGATTGAAATTGCAGCGAAATTATTTCTTAAAAGATTGAAGGTTAATCAAAAAGTCAATGGAAAAGCAAAATGGGAAAAAATTTGGATTCTCAAGCGATATTGGGCCGATAAAAGGTTGAGGCACGGAAAGGAGTCAGTAAAGGTGGAGGTGGATGAAAATCAAGATTGATAACACCGAGGGGCTTCTGGATCTATACAACAAGACCAATTATGATAAAAAGATGTTTCAGTCATCTTACTGTTGAAAAATCTGTCAATCTATTGATTCCGCTGACAGCAAAGTAGATGCAAAGTGCAATCTTTTAATGAGCTTTTGGGTGTTTTGCTATTTTCTAAAGCATGATAATGTTGATTATCGATGATGATGATGATTACTATTACAATCAAAATCATCTAATTGAGATTATGGCTGGCTTTTCTCTCTCCTGTTAACAATGGTTAATCTTGATGGTCTTATTGAAACATGATCAAAGTTTACATCAACCAAGTAGGGAGTCAAGCATCATTTTATTATACATTCAGTTTTCTTACTGTTAATCAATATTAAATTGAGTCCATAGAGATGATGTTGAAAATGAAAAATGATTGTAAAAAATTGTTGCTTCTTTGATTACTGATTGTTCAATAAGAAGGTAATAATCATAACAATATTAATCTTGGACAACCTGCGGTTAGACTTCATATACAACCATGTAATAGCAAGCAAGCTACTCAATAGTTTCAGATAAATTAGTTGATTGATTAGCATTACCTTATTCTTGTTTTATTAACATAATTTTTTTTCTCCTTTCATCTTTTTTTTGAAACAAATTTTCCATTTATTATAGTAAAAATTACTGTCCATTAAAAGATGAAAATTTTACTCTAATTGTTTCAATAACAATGTTAATAGTTTGCAATTTTAAACCTTTTTTTAATTAAAATTACTTTCTCTTTCAGGTTATAAAGGGATAAACAATGATGGACACAGCAAGAACAAGTTGAAGTCTGGTTCAATGGAAAGAAGCCAAATTGTCATTGATTGATCAGGTTTATTGATATTACAAGTTATTAAAATTGGACAGGTTTGCTAATCAAATTAAAACATTTCAAGCTGAATCAGTGAAATCAAGTCATGATACATTCGGAAGTGAAAATGTATGAACTGGAAAACAATATAAAGATTTACCCATTATGAAAGTTCAATCTTGAGGTAAATGCATTGCAATCATTTAAAACTGCAACCAATTTTCATGATAATCTTGATAATCTTTTCTTAATAGTATAATATTTTAACCTATAAGATGATGATGATGATGATAATGATAATGTAAGGAATAAGAAAATGTCTGTTCTTCAATACCTTTACTCTTTAATGAACTTGTTTATGTTATTTCTTCTTCTTCTTCTGTGGATAAAGGGAAGTTTTGATTTTTACCTCTCAAACATTTGATCATCTAAGGTAAGGTAAAAAAGCCTTCTCATTAAAAGAAGAGAGAGAGAGAGAAAGGGAAAGATACAATGAAAGTGGGCAGAAGAAGAAAAAAGGAGGAGAAAGGGGGAGTGAATAAGAGATGATGTTGAAGTTGATGAAGAAGAAGAAGAAGAAATGTTAAGGTTGATATTAAATGTCTTAAATATGAAAGTTTGTTGTGATGTGTTGTCTCTTGTATACATTTAATGTAGGCCTGAGGCTTCATCTTCATCACTATCACCATCATCATCATCATCATCTTTTTTTGTGAGAATCAAGATGATGATACAAAATGTTTCAAGAAAAAAAGATAAGAGGCGGAGAGATTGAGAGCTACCGAATAATGAGAGTAACTTTGGCCAGCGACATATTTTTTCCCTTTCATGGGATCATCAAGACGGTGGTGAAGAGGAGATGATGATCAACATAAACATGAACATCATCATTTCCCTTTGGATTGGCGTTACAAATGATTACCGATATTTGGCTGAACCAACTTATACTTGATCGGACCGCAATTAACATTCTTCCCTCAGATAAATATCAATTTCGTGATTTAGCCCAAGGATAAATTGCTACTGAATTGCATGGATCATTATTATCATCATCATTACTATTATTATTATTATTATTATGTGCATTTGTTTTGCTACTGTAACCAAATGAAGAAACCTCACCTTTAAAGTAACATAGAGATTTAGGCTTGGCTTGGTTCACTTGAATAAGGTTAGGTTTTAATATTAATCTGACAATGAAACAGTAGCTTCTCTCTGGCATCCATTTATACAACAATATTAAATCATATCTTGAGGCTTTCAACCAATTATCTGGATTCACTATTAAACTATTATGTTTATTATCACTTCTATTATTTTTCAAGCTTCTGGTTTTTTATTTTCTTTGCTTGCTTCAATTTTGTTTTATTTATTTATCTATTTAATTTCATCCTTCATTGGATTTTAAAACTTGCAATAAAACATCAACTCATCTCAACATCTATCACATCATTAAACCATATATTATCTTTCATGATCATGATGGAGTTGAAGAGGATGATCATGTTGGTGAATGGCTTGCTATGGCTAAAGAATGGAAAGGTTTAAATTGTCCTTATGATTGAGAGCATTTTGATTGCTGATGGTTTGTGTTCAACTTTTCAAAACAAAAATAACCATAATAGCCATTTGATTGAAATACATTTTAATCTATTAAATTGAGATAATTCAAAGTTCAATCAAAAAGCATCTCGGCCCAGCCTTTCATTCAACTCAATTAAACCTTAACAATCATAATCAATGTAATAAAGGTAAAACTCTGGACAGCAAAAAAATCAATTCATTTAGCTGTTGATTTCATTTTGAAGTTTCCAAAAAAAAGGTAATTTAAATTACTCTTTTTTTCAAGAAATCAAATAATAATTGATTGGAAAAAAATATAAAACTCAAGCTCATTAACTTTAATCAAATTGTATTGACACAGCAATTTAACAGAACATGAAATGGAGATTTAAAGTCATATATCTTTATAATGATAGTGGGAATAATCAATAAGAAATTCAAATGAAATTATTCTCTCTTGCAAGTTCAACAATTGAATAATCTAAATGATAATACTGATATAATTGGTCATTGACGATGCCGATTCAATACATTTTTTTCCTTTATAAATTCATTGACTTGTTTCTTATAAAGCATCTTTCATCTTTTCCATTCAAAGATGATGATGAAGAGCAATGGTAAAGGTAAAAAAGGTCTTCAAGATTTTTTTGTCTGATAAAAACTCGCACAAAGAGATGGAGAGAGTGAGATGAAAGCAAAGTGATCATCATTTTATAATCAAAATGATATTTTTCACAACAACACCGATCATCACCATCATCATCTTTTCAAGATCAAATTGCTGATTCCTTAATCAATCACGATAACATTTCATTCCTTAACAGAAACATATAATAACCAGACATTGAGATGATCATTTTTTTGTCAAAACCTTTAGAAGGAAGAAAGGAAAACAAATTATCACGCAACTTTAACACAGAAAGATTAGACAGGTAAACTATAGAATAAAGCAAGATAAAGATGATGATATTGATGATAGGAATGAAAAGCAAGTGAAATTTTAAATTTTTAGGGGAAAAATCAGAATAATATTGATGGCGAGTAATTAAGGTTGACAGATTAAAAACGCAACTTGGAAAATACGATTCAACAAGGGTTTAAGAGAGTAGTTGTGTGTGTCTAGTGAAAGAAACCACTTGTTGCAAGGGTTTACTTTATGGGTTTACAGTTGATGTTGACTGACAATGTGTAGACAGTGTGGCCCTTGGCTTTACAACATTGAAACACTGAATGTGGTTTGTAATTGCAACCCTCTACTTTAGTCCAACTCTCTTTGTGTTTGCCCGGGACAAGAAATCAGAGTCCATAAGAAAGTTGATTGTAGCTCGCTTGGTTGAACTCGCCAAGAGTAAAATGAACAGGACAAATGACAATGTGGCTCGTAACAAGCCACAATCATAATGATGTCAGTTGGGCAATGTGATGTTCACTTGTCACCACAACATTGATTATAAACAATAGACACTTGAGTAAGTGTAAATATCAAAACGAACTTGTCCATAGAAATTAGAAACTATCTTGAACTAATGTGAGATATTAAATTAACTGTCCATCCCTTCAATTATCTTGAGATCTTTAAAGCTCCGATGGCGTTGGAATCAATCGCAAATCCAATAACGACATTCAACCTTTTCCTTGGACTTCATATCGATCAACTACAATGTAACTTGGCCACCGTTGCTTTGTCTTCCAGGCTCAGTGAATTCATCTATGATGATATAAAAACAGAGGGAAGAAAACTTAAGGATTAATTTCAAATTCAAGATACGTTGTACGAAGATTACCTTTTTTGAACTCCATTACGGTCCTTAATAACAAGCAATCATCTGTTTATTTCCTCTGAGTGGATATCCCTGATTATCATGGTTTGTAATTTTATAGTTAATATCCAATTCCAATAAATAGGTAGTGTTAACATTAAATTATAAATCGACAATAAAACACAATAAAAAACCAGTTAAAACTGGGTGTGTTCAAACACGATACAGCTGAATCAGCTTGTCGAGCAGTCTCGGTAGGATTGCCTTGAAAACCCTTCAACTAACCAATCATATTGAAGATTATTTACTTTCCATTATTTATTGTAGGTTTTTTTTATTAACCCTTTGATTTTTTACGTTTAATTTAATCGCATTACTATCAAAGTAACCATGGACCTTGAAATTGGATAACCAGTCCATCAATTTTGTGAATCAGTTCAGTTTAATTGTCATTGATCTAATTGGATTAGCAACAAATTAACGTTTGTTTTTTTGCGCCTTAACTCTTCAAATACACCTTAAACAACGTGTTAACGGCCACATTTTAAATTCAAATGTTGCCTTTATGTCTTTTTATCTTCTCATCTTTCAACTTGCTTATGTTAATGTTAATGTTTACTTACAAATGTAAAAGTAGTCCTGATTATGATTAAATTATTCTTAATCGTCTTAATCAAGTGTAATATTAAACTTGACTTAACTAACAAAAATTAAATTTAGTTTGCTTCATCAACTCATCATCACCAAGTATACAAACTATCCTTTCAAGTTTCATCTTTTTTCACCTTCATTAAATGAAAATGATGATGTATTATTATCGTTGTTGCTGTTGTTGATAATGATGGTGGTGTTGATGGTGATTGTGATTGTGATGGTGACAATGATGCAAGCCCATCACAAAGTCATCATGAAAGCAAACAAAACCAACATTAATCTTACTGTACTTGAAAAATATTCATGTAACAGTGAGAAGAGTGAACAAAGCGAGAAAACAATTTTTAAACAATTGTCGAAACATATAAAACTGTAATTAAATGAGATGAAATTACAATTTGAAAACAGCAAACATGAAATTGAGTCCAAAACTGTCCTTGCTAATAACGGAAATGTGCAGTAATGAGCCAAGAAAGAAAGCCATACCAAGATCAATTTGTAATCCACAATCAAGTTGTCCAAGACTACATTTTGTCCCATTAACTATAATTGAAAAAGAAACAAACATTTACATTAATCATTTTCTCATTCATTAATTTTTTGCTTAATCCAACATTGATATAATCAGTATACTCACCAGTAAATTGAATAAACCTTTTATCCCATCACCAGTCGTTATACACCATGATTATTTTAAGTTCAATGTAATGATCCAAGCACACTTCCAGAATCCAATTGAAGGTATTAAAAAAAGATGGACAAACAGATTTGTATTAACAAAACCAACATGTATCAACTGGTGTAGTAAACAATCTTCAAGATTCACTCCAGGCTAATCAATATGCACACATTTTTGGTTTTAATTGAATGTTTATGGACAAATAATAGCTTCTAATTAGCCTTATCCTTTCAATGAAACGGTTGATGTGATGATAATGAGCCAAAACGTTTAGTTTTATTTGAAAACAATCTTTCAATTGCCCAAAGCAGTAAGGAATCTAGCAGTTAAAAATGTAAAGTTAGTTAATTAGTAGCCATTATTGAAACACACAAAAAAGTAAAAGAGTTGAATTCAAAGACTACTATACTTACAATACAGGAAAAAAACCAATAGCAGCAAACAAACAAATCTACAACAGTTAACCAAACAAGTTGTCCAGCCAAAGGCAATACCAATCAATTGTCCAACAATTAAATTAAGTAATTAACAAATTAAAAAGATGAAACAATTAAATATAAATACTAATAAGTACAAATTAAAAATACAAATGACACTTGTTTTACAAGTTGAACTGTTACTCTTTGACCATCACCATAACAATAATTTGGTTAAAAATTGAAGCGCTAAAATCAAAACAAAGAGTAACCAAAAATGGTAAAAACAGATTTTCCTTTCAATCAACAATCAAAGCAATTAACCATCAATAATACAGTTAATAACTAGAAAAGAAATAAATGAAAAGGTTAATAAAATCAAATAATAATCATACAATATCTATGACTGTAAGCAATGATGAATTATATACCTTGAACGGTAAGTGCAAGAGATGAGCATTTCTCATCTTCTCCTTGTTAATTTAAGGTGAGAGGACCTAGTAAATGATGGTAAAGATGATGAGACTCTGGCTTCTGGTTTAAGTTGAAAATGATTTTAAATTTTACCGCATTCTCACGACTTTTGTTCAAGTCACGGAAACTCCTTAAGGCACTCAAGAAGCTCTATGTTGTTAAACATTGAAGACGAAACATTGTGATGATGAAGAATGGCGATGATGATGATTACTGCTTCTGATGTTATTGATGGTGGTTCAAACTTGTGATGTATTAGCTTGTATATGAGCAACAACAACAACAAAAAACGATTCATCTGTTCATCTAATTGCACTTTCAATGGTTAAAAGAAATGCTCATCTCTATGTCTTTTTAAGGTACAAGAAAAAACAAATGTAAGGCAGAGTTGAATAATTTTAAAAATTATCTGCTTTTCCATGTTAGTTACTGTTACTCTTATTGTAATTTGTATTTCACCCAGAACATGAAGTAAGCACGCTTTAACCATAATAAGTAATTTGTTGAATCCAATTGAAATCAAAATATATATTATTATCATTTAGTTAAGCCTTAAATCACTTGCAATAGTGACTTATCCATCATTCCCTTTGACTAATACTGAACAGCAAAAAGGTTACCTTGGTTAATTTGTTGGTTACAAGTAACAATACAAGTAAACCAAGTTGATGATGATGATCAACCACTAATTACATTCCTGCTTGCCATCATGTTAAATGATGATGAAGAGAGTTTACTGAAGAAGCAAAGCAAACCACGATTAAAGGGTGATAAACGTGATTATCTGTATCAACAATCAGGTATTTCAATTGATTTAAATTGGCTCAACATTGGGTAAAGTGAAGTAAACAATGAAAATTGAAAAATTGCTAAATGACAAGCTTGCCTGTGAATCAATTCAATATCTGACAATGAGCATAAATTGTTGGCAGAGCAAAGACAATTTGAAACAAAATCAATTAAAAGTATCAAAATTTAAATGCTTTGCAACGATCAAGATCAATAGTTAAATCATAAAGTAATAAAATTTGAATTTGAATCGAAAGTAAATTTTTCATTATTAACAGATTGTGACTTTGAAAGCAGTAAACGTTTAAACTAATGATGAGAAAAATTGTAAGATGAAAAGAAAGAAAAGAAAGCCTTGAAAAGAAAGAGATGAAGAAAGAGAAAAGGGCAGGCCAAATCCCGCCTCAAGTGGAGGCTAATAGCGATCGAAACCCGTCAAACTTGGTTTTTGTTTCATCCAAGAGTAAACTTTTTGTTCAGTTGTAAAGTTAACGTTATCAAGATATCAACAAGTTACATTGATCATTTCGTTATTTGTTTTTTGTTTCATTTTGCTTTACATCGTTTAATTGTCTTTAATCATTTAATCAAGTTCGATATGTTTCACTGAGATTTGGATTCGTGTTTAATGTTTCCAGTGTATTCAAGTATCTCATCAGAGCACAGTTTATTGGACAAAATGTTGGCCGAAATTGAATCACCGTTAGACCTCTCCATGCCCTTTGTAAAGTCACCTAAAGGGTCGACTCTATCAGCATCAACTTTACCCTCTACTTCACCTCATCTCTTGGGTTACAGTCTTCATGGAAACTCTTTACAGGTTGACAACAAATTGCCCACCAATTGGAATTGTTTAACTCTGGATTTATCCAAATCAACTGCTTCTTCAGTTTCATCGGTTTCACCGACATCGGTATCACCTTCATCCATCATTGTTTCCCATCCCTTATCTTCCAATGTTCATCATTCTCACTCTCACCATCCAGGTTCATTGTCATACTCTTCATCTTCCTCGTCATCTTCATCAACCTCATCTTCACCAGTACCTTTGACTCTCAGCAACTCAAGAACAAGTAAACCTCGAGACAAAAATAATACCATCAATATCAACATTGTTAAAAGACGAGATGCTCATGAAAATAGCAACATCAATAAAACTGTTCATGAAAGTAATGAAGGTGATGCCATCATGACTGATTCAAGTGACACTATTGACATCAACCACACTGACCATTCAAATGATCATTCACAACTCTCACCTATGGCAACACCATTGACCATTTTAAATAATCTCAATACACGAAATAATAACCATCAAAGTTATTCTGATCAACACAATTTAACCTTTAATAGCAACAATATGATGAGAAAACCTCGGGAAAGAGCAATGTTACCCTGTGAATATTGCGGCAAATCGTTTGATAGACCATCACTATTGCGTCGGCATCTTCGCACTCATACAGGTAAAGTATCCATGTGACAAGAGAAGCTTCAGATTTTTAAAAATCATCAAAACCCTCTTTAAAGGAAAACACTGATTAATCAATTGTTTTATTTCTTTACCTTATTTACAGGTGAAAAGCCTCATGTTTGTGATGTTTGTGGTAAAGGATTTAGCACATCATCTTCATTAAACACTCATAGACGCATTCATTCAGGTGAAAAGCCTCATCAATGTCCAATTTGTGGTAAGCGATTTACTGCAAGTTCAAATCTTTATTACCATCGGATGACCCATAGCAAGGTAAGAAAAGGCAATAAAATGGTTACAAGATGAAAACAGATTAAATTCATTTTCTATTTACATTTTCCAGGATAAACCTCATAAATGTTCAATGTGCGGTAAATCATTTCCAACTCCAGGCGATCTTAAGGCTCATGCATATATTCATAATGGACACTGGCCATTCAAGTGTTCAATATGCAATAGAGGATTTAGCAAGCAAACCAATCTTAAAAATCATCTTTTCCTTCACACAGGTAAGCACAAGTTAGCACTTTTAATTTTTTCCTAACATAACACTTGATGCTAAATCAATAAGTAAATCAACAAAAGACCATAAAAATCATACACAAATATTGCTTCCTAATTGTTATCAAACTTTACGGTAAAACTTTTCCCAATCCTAATTGTTTGTCAATGAGTCACTATAGCTTCCAACAATTTATAACATCATGCAAAATAACCTGATGAGTAAGTGATAGTTGAACTCTTTGACTCATTAAAGCAACTACAGATCATAATCTTATTATACAAAGGTAGAGTACCTGCAAGACCTAATGATTTATTGCTTAAAGGTTGAACTATTCATCACTAACTAACGTTAAGTTTATCAAAATGAAACTTAAGAGTCAACATTTGCTAAATAATTACCAATAATGAAAATAACCCGATGAGTTTGATCAAACTTTGAATCACCTTTGAATTGACTTTTCAAAGTAATAGTTTCTAAAGTGTTGCGATCAAATCAACTCAATTTGTCACCATTTCAAGTGACGGCACTCGTTACAGTAATGCAAAATAACCAAATGAGTCAAACTTTATCCTAACCTAACCCAACCTAACCTAACCCTTTGTTTCAACTTTGACTTGTTAATCAAAAACCCAATTTATCCAAAAGCTTTGTAATTTAAAGCTAAATTTTACTGATTTCAGTTAATGAGTGATGAACAATATTTGATGAAACAATTTTGATGAGATGATCTCAATAAAAATGATTAAAGATGAGATTAATAAACAAGTGAGCAATCATAATCCTGCCAATAATTGACTATATAAGGTAACATAATAATCATCGCCAACAATACAAGTAACAATAAGGCAACGTTAAACTGTTAAATCGTTACTTAGTTTTATTGAGCTTCTCATTTCACTTCATCATCACCATCGTCATAATCATTTTTGATTTTTCATCCAAAATCTCAGTTAGAAAGATAAAGATGAAAGATAAAGACTGAATAAAACTTTCTCCTTTTTCATCTTAAAATTCTCAGCTTTCATCATGTTCATCTTGTTGTTTTGAAAAATTGTGTCACACGCTGAGTTGTAACACCACACGTTGTGATGCAAAAGATAAAATTTTAAATCATATTTCTCTTCCCTTACTATTTCCATCATCATCACCATCATCATCCCTTCATCTTCATCTCTTTTCACTGACAAAATATGAAACTTAAACTACCCTAACTGTTATCCTTAATTTACCTGTGAACATAAATTGATACCAACCGCTGTGAACGATTACAGCAAAAAAATGAATGAAAATAACTGGACAAATGAAATGATCTTACGACTGGCGTACCAAAACCTTATCCAGTTGATTAAGTTGTTTCAATTAAATCTTTTAATCGGTCAGTAAAATAACTGTTTCAATAAGGCGATTAAATTTACAATCAAAAGTCAATTGTCAAACAAAAAGAAGGTGTTTTGTGTTTACAAAACGCAAATCTTCCGCATCCATTGTTACACTTTGATCCAACTTTGAACTTCCCACAAAAAGATGAAAAAGATTTGCAAAGAAATTGGAAAAATAGAAAAAAATTCATGAGATTTAATGATTTCGCCAGGTTCTCATAGATGTATATTGACAGAGTTTTACATCATAAACTTATTCAATTATCATTGTCATCCACTTTTAATGACTCAATCAGGGTGTTTCAAGGTAATGCCGATAATGATGATGATGTACCTGATGATGGTTAAGGTGGTGTTCATCGTATTGTATTGTCTCCATGTGAATTATTGTACACCTTTTAGCACCTTCTTACCGATTGACTAAGATGGTATAAAAAGAAGGTGGATAAGCGAAAAGATGATGATAATGATGAAGATGAGGATGAAGATGAAGATTAAAACGCCTTAAGAGTTTTGTTTCGTTTTTTGTGTGTGGGTTGATCATTCATCATGATCCTTCTGAGGATTTGAGTGAACAATAAGCACAAGTCTTTGAAATGTATATTGAAATGAACAGTTACATTAAGTTATCACAGAGATTAATGAATGATAATTTCATCGTTCACTTTACTTTTCAAATGATTAGCAATCATTTTTTTTACCTTTGCTGTTTCACTGTTCAATTGGCGCTATTGAAGGTCTGAAACCATCAACACACACAGTTGGAGGATTGGAGGAAGAAGAGTAATTAGGAATGATGATGAGAGGAAGATTGAAAAGCCAAGAAGGTTAAACACACCCTGATTGAACAGAGTCTTTACGTAAATGAAAAATGTTCACCTTCGAAGTTTTTTTTTGTTCCTTATCTGTGAGAAATGTTTGCTTCTGTTAAACAAAAATCAAATTACCAATGATGATCATTAATGAGAAACGAAATGTCAGTTAATCAAATGACTTTTACTTTTTGTTCATTTCGTAATTTGTTTTACATACTTATTGTGATTTGTTATGTTGTCGCTTTGCTTTATATTATTACCACTGATCACCTAATGCGACAACATGTTGATCTTGCCCAAAGCAAAACAAAAGTTGAAGCGCCCTGAACAAGCCTAAAGGGTAAAACGAAATTTCAGCTTTTTTCTGCTTCGTCTCTCTTCAAAATTCAAGTTTACACTGACAGACTTGTGAGAAACAAAGATTGCTATGTTTCCCGGTTTGCGATATTTCTTGCTTTTCTCATTTCCACTAGAAGTTTATCATTTTTATGAAAACCTTTTATTATCTAACATGGTCTAGCCTAGTGAGTCAATATGAAATGACTATTAGGATAAAAGCAACATTTTGCCTCTATTGTAAGGCAAAATAACCTGATGATCTAACCTAACCCAACCTAACCTAATCATAAACTTTGAGTCAACCGATGCAATCGATTGAACTTATTAGTTTAGTTTAACACAAAATTGATTATGTGAAACAAGTAGACTTGAGATTCTCCTTACTAAACTGTAAAGGTTTAAAGTCGTACAAATCGGTATAATCTTAGATTTACCCAATTGATTATCAAACTAATCCAATGTTTTGAGCTGATCTTTTATCCTTTATATAGAGCTTATAAAAGGTTGAATAAGATGAAATCACCTTCTATCACCAGACACATTGTTGATATCAATAGTTTTACGAGTTACGAAAATTGAGTTTTTCTCGAAACTAAAACAAATGAGACAATTTAAAGATTGAAAACATTTCCTCATTTTTTGCTTCGCCTTACACCATTCACTTCATGTCAAGATTGTTATCTGGCAAACATGAAACAAAAAGATGGATGAAACTGGAGTAAAAATTTATTACAGAAGTTTGTTAGAGAAGAAGAGAAAAGGGGCGAAAAGGCAGCGCACGAAATGAACATCAAAAAAGTTATCGTGATTTACCGTGATTAGTAGCGATAAAACGGTGCACACAAGAAGCAAGAAAAATTGTTTCACTCAACAAATAGTTACCCATTAGAATAGGTAAAGGTGAATAAAGGCTCAGCAAAAAAGAAGCCAAAACAAAAGGTTAATAACAAGTTGATAATCATAGTTGATTATCCATATTGTTATTGTTCACCGTTTAATCGTTTATCCTCCATCACAAGCATGATATGAGCCAGCAAAAGCAACTGTAAAGTAGCAAATCTTTACCTGAATCAACACGTAAAAAAGCTACTCGACTAAAAAAGAAGGTAAAAATGAAGGGAATCAAAAGAAGGTCAGATTTATTAGATATAATTATTGTTTGCATTATCGTTTGTTATCGCTAATGAAAGGGTCAACATGTAATAATAAAAGGGAGTTGAAATTAAAAGTCCATTGAAGTAAAGTCCAAGCAACTTCGGTAGCCAAAAGTAACTCACAAGTTACTTTCAATTGTATTGTGTTTTGAGATCATGAAAAATCGTGATTGTCAGTCAAGAAAAGAGTAAAGTAAAACTTGAAAATGAATCTAAATCAACCAAGTCACCTGAATAATTGTTCATGTTGGCCGATCTGGGCCACAGTAGCTGAAACAGATTAGCGATAAATTATCCGATTAAATGTGCTTCAACAGATTAGATCAAGATTGTGTCAAAACTCGAGAGATTCAATCAACAACAAAAAAAACTCTTCAAACATGTAATTTCAACAATTGATGCTTTTGGACAAACAATAAAAGGTTGAAGTAATATTGACTTTGCTCAATCAAACAGATTATTATAGATTGAAATGTTAATCAATTGATAATTCACTTGGTAATAAACGGTTTTGTTAATTGGTATTCTTGGCTCAACAATTTTACTCTTGTTTCAATCAAATGTTCAACTTTCTGTGTTCATATTGAGATGAAATTTTCATGTTTAGTTATCACAGGCGAGTCTTGGGCTTGGCATCATGATTATTATTAATCTATTGATTGGCTTCTTGTTTTTCACTTTGTAATTAATTTATTTGCTGCTGTTGGTTGTTACTGTTTAATCGAGTAGAGGTTTGGATTAAGGTGAGGCTAGACTACACTTTACCTATCAACAGTGACTTTATTATTAGACGGTAATTAATATATCCATGTTATTGCTTCTGAATAGTTTAGGAATTTGTTGATTTTTTCTTCTTCTTCTTTTTCATTTCTTTCCTTTCCTGTGTTTCACGATTTTTCGTGCCAATACAGACTCTTTTTACCTTGCAGTTTACTTTGTAATTTAGTTTCATTTTACAGCTTAATTGTTGCTCCTGCAATTCAATAGTTTCAATTATTTTCTATTTTCAGCTTTTCCATTTGTTTCTTTTCTACCCAAAATTCAGTAAAATCACCATTTGGCAACACATTTGGCTACTGAATTTTATCATTTTTTTCTTCATTAATTCTCATGATTTGCACCTTAATTGAGTTAACTTAAGCTGTTATAGGGTTTGAATGGTAATTGAATCATTTTGTAATGTTGGTTGATTTCATGAAAGGAAAACTATCTTTTTGATTAAACAATTTTCATCAACATGAAGGTTCGTGCTTTAATTAACCAGTGATTTATGCCATTCTGAACGAAATTCACATTCGAATCAAATGATTGAAACAT